TTCAATGGAAGACTTTAGACGCCGACACGCTTCGACGCGCCGAGACGCTCATTTGGCAACAGAGCCAGCGGGCGGCCTTCGAGGAAGAGATTTTGACGCTCCAGCGAGGGAAACAAATATCCCCAGCGAGCCGACTGCGAAACTTGTCCGTAACTTACGCGGACGGGATATTGAAAATAAACGGACGCATCGGCAACATCGAGGGAGCTGACGTCATCACCTCGCCTCTCGTGCTAGACGGATCCCGACGCGAAACGAGACTGATGATAGACTTCATCCATAGAAAGATGCACCACGCCGGAACCGAAGCTACGATCGCCGAGTGCCGACAGTCGTACTGGGTTTTACGCCTACGCCCAGTGACACGGAGCGTAATCCACAATTGTCTCCCGTGTCGTATCCGCAAGGACACTCCACCGCGTCCAGCCACAGGCGACCACCCACCGAGCAGACTTGCACACCATCGGCGACCATTCACATACGTGGGCCTCGATTACTTCGGGCCCTATCAAGTTACCACCGGCAGAAGCACCCAGAAGCACTACGTGGCCATCTTCACATGTCTCACTACGCGTGCGGTGCACTTAGAACCGGCAGCGAGCCTCAGCACGGACTCAGCGGTGATGGCACTCCGGCGCATGATCGCGCGCCGGGGAGCCCCGACGGAGATATGGAGCGACAACGGCACCAATTTACGGGGTGCCGACAAGGAGCTGCGCCAAGCTTTGGACAAGGCGACCGAGCATGAAGCGAGCTTAAGGCTTATACAATGGCGCTTCATCCCACCGGGCGCGCCTTTCATGGGCGGCGCCTGGGAAAGAATGGTGCGGGCAGTAAAGACCGCGCTCTCGGCCACGGAGCAGCCGAGGCACCCGACGCCCGAAATATTCCACACTCTGCTAGCGGAGGCAGAGTTCACAGTGAACAGCCGACCTCTCACTCACGTAACGGTGAGCGCCGACGATCCCGACCCTCTAACGCCAAACCACTTCCTGCTAGGAGGCCCGGCGCGAGTCCCCGTGCCGGGCAAGTTTGACGACGCCGACCTCATAGGGCGCGCACACTGGCGCGCAGCTCAACGTCTGGCAGACGTGTTCTGGAGTCGCTGGCTCCGGGAGTACCTGCCCGACCTGCAGAACCGGCGGGAGCCCCACAGCCGCGGGCCCGCCCTGAAGATAGGCGCAAGATAGGGGCGGAACCCGGGGTCCGTGGGATTAATAGCAGGACGAACGGGGCTCCCACGGAAAAACCAAAACCCCCCTGGGCCCAGAGATCCCATCCCAGGGAGGGTTAACCCCGGGCCCGGACGGCGCCAATTCCCACCCTCCCGGAAATGGGGTTCCGAACCCCCGGGTCTGCGGGGGGCCCACGCCGGCCGCCGGGTTATCCTGGCCCGAAGACGGCCCGGCAAAAAGAAAGGAATTCATTCCCCGTTTGCTTGCCCCAACGATGGGTCCCCGGCCGCCTCACCCCCGAAGAGGATTGGCACGACCGTGAACCGACCGGCTGGCCCACGGGCCGGTGGGGGAGAGACGTCCGCCCGTCGACCACTCGAGTGATGCCGTCGGCCCCCGGGTAAACCTCCTGGATGATCCCTCGTGGCCAGGTGTTCCGTGGGAGCGTTCCGTCTGCTATTATCACGACGTCGCCTATCTTCAGGGCGGGCCCACGGCTGTGGGGCTCACGCCTCGGTTGGTGTGCATGGTCTCGCGGCACGGTCACTCCCCGTAGCCGCGACCTCCAGCAACACTTACTGCCCGCAGACCGTATTGAGCTTGCGGCGCAGTGGTGCGCGGCCCTATGAAGTTCGCCGTCGTCACACTTGCCCGGCCGGGGACATCGCGCGGGCCTACCAGCAGAAAGTGTGGGTTAGAGAGGTCGAGGATCGTAGCGACTCACCGATACGTGAGTGAGAGGTCGGGCTAGATTGACGGTGTATCTGCTTAGCTAAGCAGAGATGTTGAAATACTTCGGCGTCGCGAGTGCCTCGTACTTGCTCCGTGCCGAGCGCGGCCTTTACCAGCCATGCAAGCCATTCTCATCCCCTGGCGCCGCCTATGGCAACAAGGGCGGCCCGGTGGGATGAAGCGCCATTGTATAAGCCTTAGGGCTCGCTTCATGCTCGGTCGCCTTGTCCAAAGCTTGGAGCAGCTCCTTGTCGGCACCCCGTAAATTGGTGCCGTTGTCGCTCCATACTTCCGTCGGAGCTCCCCGGCGCGCGATCATGCGCCGGAGTGCCATCACCGCTGAGTCCGTGCTGAGGCTCGCTGCCGGTTCTAAATGTACCGCGCGCGTAGTGAGACATGTGAAGATGGCCACGTAGTGCTTCTGGGTGCTTCTGCCGGTGGTAACTTGATAGGGCCCGAAGTAATCGAGGCCCACGTATGTGAATGGTCGCCGATGGTGGGCCAGT